AAGATTTCATAGACTTAATGTTAGTCTAGTGGTCGTAAAGGGGTACCACATTTTAGCTTTTGCATTCGTGTTAGGTCGTAGTCAACAACATGACGTAGCCTCATCATAAAAATGTTCGATCTTAAGGCAGAATAAAACATGTTTGATTCCGAAAATGGGTTTAATGCGTGAAGTTATTTTTTGGTGTTTCCGAGAGTTGGGATACTAAAATGCCGGTCAAAGAAATAATACACTTGAAAAATGATTTTGCCAAAAAAATTTACAAACGTCATCAAAACGTTCCTAGGCTGAAAACTGTCGCCGAAACACTTCAAATTTAAGGTCTAAAACACAAGTTTACCCGTAGGATATACAGCGACTTCGAATAACCATTTCTTGTTTGTTTCATTTTTAGCCACCATCAAGCATGTATGTATACTTTCTTTTGCCCGGTAGTGTATAATATTCTTTATAAAGTCATTCCGAGTGAGCGAGTTAACATTTTTCTCCTCATCAGCATTGTTTCAACAATCTACCGACGTTATGGATTTTCTTTTTAAAAGCTGTAAACAGTATGATGTAGTGAGTGAGTGAGTGAGTGAGGGAGTTGGGTTTGACGCCGCTTTGAACAGTATTCCAGTTATATTACGGCGTATTAGCTAATTGGGAGAGAAAAGTCCGAAGTGATCAATATGTTATAGTGGAATCCACATCAAGAACTTAGACAAGTTCAAAGTTACCATACCAAGTGCTCCTTTTCAGACATATTCTTTCTGTTGTTTTGGAATTCTGTCGATTTTGGAAAAGGCTCCAAGGCACAGTGTGAAGGAATATTTGTTTCATCGTTTGTTCCGTCGTGCTCCCAGGTGCAGGAAGGCATCAATTAAACCAGCAGAAACTGATGATGTATCGCACGAAAATAGAACCGTTGTTTAAGAACTCCATCTTTTTTCTTTTTACTTTTAAACAATAATGTTCACTTAGTTTGCAGACTGGCGCATCTAAGTGCAGATGCGCTAAGACCACTCGTACAGCGTGAGAACTTTGGATGGAAACTAATATCTTAAAATAAATTCCAATCAATTCGTTCGTCCTAAAGATGCTAAAAATACATTCAAACGAATAAGAATTCGAGAAGTGTCGTCATAGTGTTGATAATTCATGCTCGCTTTTCTGTGCCATATTTTAAAACAGCTGATTTTAACCGAAATCATCTGTGTTTACATAAGCTGCCCTGTGGGTAAGGCATTTGGGCGTGAATATTTCTCGGTAAAGTTTACCTGTCATAACGTCTATTGCTTAGTAAACTGAATTTGGAATAAGCATCAACAGTTCATTTATGAGAAATGAAGGATTCTGCTGGGAAGATAAGATGTCCATTTAGGATAAAAAAGGATTCTGTTGAGAAATTAAGGTGTCCATTTATGATAAAAATATAGGATTTCGCTCGAAAGATTATGGGTCAAATAACAAAAAATTCTGTTGGGAAGATTATGGGTCTAATTTTAAAGGATTCTGGTTTGAAAACTATGTGTCTAATAATAAAGGATTCTGCTGGGAAGATTATGGGTCAAATAAAAAAATGGATCCTGCTGGGAAGATTATGGGTCAGATAATAAAGGATTCTGCAGGGGAAATTATGGGTCTAATAATAAGGGATTCTGAACAAATATCCTCACTCACTCTCTCTCGTTAAAGGAACGGTGGGCTAGCCTAGTGGTTAAAGCGTTCGCTTGTCACGCCGAAGACCCGGGTTCGATTCCTCACACGGGTACAATGTGTGAAGCCCATTTCTGGAGTCCCCCGCCGTGATATTGCTGGAATATTGCTAAAAACGTCGTACAACCATACTCGCTCGCGCTGGCTCTCCCGTTAAAGTCGGGCCAACACTCACATCGTTGGCAAAAAAGGCCCAGATGGGCTTTTAATTTGTTACCTTTTTGTAGTTATGTAATCTACTCGTTTATCTGTTCCAGATTCGACCCCATCACTTTCAACAATGACATAATTCACCTTTCGCGCTGAATTCAGACTGTTCTGCAGCCGCATCAAGCGCGACTCTGTAATCTCCTATATGACGTCTATATACACACATGTTGACGGTTACAGAGGAGCATTGTATAACACAACGCAGCTATCAATCGTTAAAGTTGGTAAATGTGGGCCTCTTTTCTTTCTTATGTACGACTATGGGTGTTTGTTCACGTGTGTGTGTTTAGGGCGCGGATTCTGTGGAAATGTTGCTGTTTGTTCCCGCTCTTAAGGCACTTATCAATAAATTATGTATTGAACAACCGCTATTTCAGGAAGAACAAAGCTTAACTATGCCTTATGCTATCGTCAAATGAAAACCGTGGGGCTTGGCACCACCTCTTCTCTATTTTTGTATTTCCGAACTTCCTTGTGTCCCGATCTTCCATCTGACATTGGTCTGAGTTTGATAAATACTTGTCATACCATCGATACCTAACACAAGGCTGGTACAAGAACACTTAGACTAACATCTTGTCCCTGAAATGAAAATATTTTACAGAAAAAACAGTCGTTAAATTATTTCAAATAAATATAATAAAAAGGAGCCGTGACATTCTCAAGCTACAGTCATCTTGACTTGCCAAATATTATAGACTTGCATGGGCTGTGTTGGATATACTTGTCTCGGGTCTGTATGGCAGACGAAAGAGCACTGTATGGTTAGTGATTCCCGTTTCTGTGTTTCGATGTGCGTATCTCACTCCATAAAAATAACTGTGTTTTGTCAGAAAACTATTACTAATATTATATTCCAAAACATATCGCGATACTTGTCACTTTACGCCTACGTCAGTATCGGTACATATCGCGATACTTGTCACTCTACGCTTACGTCGTCAGTATCGGTACATATCGCGATACTTAAGTCACTATACGCCTACGTCAGCATCGATACATATCGCGATACTTGAGTCACTATACGCCTAATTCAGTATCGATACATATCGCGATACTTGAGTCACTATACGCCTACGTCAGTATCGATACATATCGCGATACTTGTCACTTTACGCCTACGTCAGTATCGATACATATCGCGATACTTGTCACTTTACGCCTACGTCAGTATCGATACATATCGCGATACTTGAGTCACTATACGCCTAATTCAGTATCGATACATATCGCGATACTTGAGACACCATACGCCTACGTCAGTATCGATACATATCGCAATACTTGTCACTTTACGCCTACGTCAGTATCGGGACATATCGCGATACTTAAGTCACTATACGCCTACGTCAGCATCGATACATATCGCGATACTTGAGTCACTATACGCCTAATTCAGTATCAATACATATCGCAATACTTGTCACTTTACGCCTACGTCAGTATCGGTACATATCGCGATACTTGAGACACTATACGCCTACGTCAGTATCGATACATATCGCGATACTTAAGTCACTATACGCCTACGTCAGCATCGATACATATCGCGATACTTGAGTCACTATACGCCTAATTCAGCATCGATACATATTTGGCAATGCACTGTTTATGCTTGAAAATCTCAATTTTCGACGTGACCTGGTTCATCTGAAGTTTTTGTTATGAAGCAGTTTAAGTTTATCTCGAGTGATCTGTAAATTTGGGTAGTTCTGATAGTTTATATTTGCAATTGTGGCTCTTGTGTCTTCAGCAACCCATGCTTGTCGTAAGAGGCGAGTAACGGGATCGGGTGGTCAGGCTCGGTGACTTGGTTGATGCATGTCATCGTATAACAACTACGTGGATCGATGCTCATGATGTCAATCACTGGATTGTCTGGTCCAGACTCGATTACTTACAGACCGCCGTCATATAGCTAGAATATTGCTGAGTGTGGCGTTACAACAAACAAACAAACGTGTTTCATGATTGGCAGTAGTGTAACACTGGCCCGAGTAGTCAGGCCTGATTAATGCAAAAATATGAAAATGCATGTATTTTTGTTTTATATCCACACAGAATTAAAACAAGAATCGATACATGGGTAGGCATGTCGTATATCTATTGCCATGTGCACATTTGTGATAAATTGGGGAATCGTGACACCCTAATGTATATCGACGTAGCGTCAAGATATCATAATCAGTTCCTCAGAAACGCCTACCCATTTAGCGGGTTCTGCCTGTCGAGAGTGTTGGGACAGGCCGATAGCATATCGCTATGCGGGAAACATTGACCCAGTTTCCATGTAGCGAGATATTAGCACTTCTGGACGCTGTAAATAATTGACGTGTCAGGCTATAGGAATAAACATATTACAATTAGGGAGGTAACGCTCATGGTGAAGTATAGTTCATGGTTACAAATAACGAACGCACTCAATTTGGGTTTTCAATTTTAACAGTACCTGCATGTCCCCACAGATTAACTTCGTTTTAAAATGATATTACAACAATGTAGTTATTATTTTGAAAATATTAATTATGAAATATATTAATGACGTCAACAGTTTCATGTATACCACTATTATTGTGTCAACTTAATACCCCTTGTTCCTTGAAAACAATATATTTTCAGGAAGTCATTGTTGTGAAAACATATTACAAGTTCGTTTTCATGTTTGTTTTCTACTTTTATATCACATAAATATTTAAACCATATGGATATTCTAATTCCTGATTCTGAAAGTACCACATGCAAATGTCTTATAGCATTGAGTTTCGTTTGTTTCTTAATTTTTCTAAATAGTTCTCATATCCCTATAGTTAATGGCTAGTCATTCTTCTGCGAAGTAGGAAATATTTGAATATTATAAACTTCACGTGGTTAAATGGATGACGATTTTAAGAAAACATGGTAATTCCATCGTCCAAATGTCTGTATTCAACACTTAACTTAAACAGAATAGTCAATCACTTTCTGATCGAAAACTTAAGTAGGATATACCATATCGTAATGAAATAAGTACACGTATCCATGGCAACGGTCTTGTGACGTCATTTTGACATAAAGGTGTCGATTAACAGCAATAGAAAACCACAACACGGACGAAGATGAGCAAGATTGTCATTTAATAGACGTTCATCATCACAGTTACCACATATGTACAATTCAGAGAACACAAGTTCTCTCACACATAAAATACTGCTCCGTCTCACATACACCAGCACGGTTTTCACCCACATTGTAATACAATACAAAGTTCCAACAAAGACATTCTTACTTCGCCAAAGTTACACATACTGTTTCTTTGTTCAGACCGCCAAACTTCTTTTTAAAAAGTAAATGGCAGCTACGGTTTCGACTATAAGCCCAGCACGTACTGATTGTTCTGTTTATTAATAAAACATCTTTACGTATTGCGTGAGTCATTAAAAATCCATTGGTATTTTTTTTCCAAGATTTGGTTGGCCGTTTTTACCACCAGCCGTCACGATGGCTGGGCCCAAGTCTCGTAAAATCTCGAAACTTATAAGTCACATTGCACTTGTTGTGTGTACATTATCCCCCTCCGCACTCGCAGTGAAGGTCAATAACCAGTCATTCGTCATCCAAGTCCTTTTCCTCACATCCTAACATTTCCAAACCGAAAATGCCAGTTCCCCCTAGCCACAGAAAGTTTCCTTCTATCAAAGAGAATGTACACCATATGGGAAGGATCTAAAAAAACTATTGACTTTTTCTTTTATGGCAGCGGAAAGGTTGCTGAATCATGTTAGAGGCAAAAAGTAAATGTTAATTTTCAAAATCATGCTTTACACTTACGCTGAGAAAATTCGCTAACAGCACAGTTCACGGCGTTGCTATATGGAAAGGCCGAAACATCACAAACTACATATTTAATACATCAGAGAATTCGTCAAATGCCAGTTTTGGGTTTCTAGAAGCATGTGTCAAAATCGTAGTGTTTCAAGAGTTCTATTTGACGTGAAAATGGCAAGCTGGTACCTGCCATAGCGCATACAAGCACCTGGGAAGTAAGAACAGGCATGTTACACGTCGCCGGACTCAGTGACCTGAGAGCATGTCAAAAGCACACAGCCTGAACACTGCATATCAGAATACATTTTGCTTCTTGCTTCCGACATAAAATGTTCAAGACAAAAGACTATATATATCTGTTAACGCTCGATAAAAAACATTGCCATTACAGCTTCCATTGTTACGGTGTGTAAACCTGTGCTGTTATGAGCTTTTGATGTTAAAAATCACATCAAAGGCGAGGTGGAGAGCGATAACGTCTTAGCAGCATAATGAGCGTAATTCAAGGTACAGTTCTGCCGAAATGGTTTGATAACTTTGGATAATACTTAGGTCAGAGGTGAAAAATATGTTTCGGGTCCCGTGATAAGTTGAAAAGTGGCCGTTGAAGAAGTTACAGATTTACATCACAAGGCACAGCTAAGTCGCTGTGTTCTCGGCATTACCATAAGAAGGGAAACTTAATCCTTGGCGCAAGAATGGGCCTTTGAATCCAAGCGGGTAGCAAAACACTGGCGGGGGGTACATGTAAACCAACACCCCCTTCTGGTACGGAGGGGGTGATAAGGGGAAGGGGTCAAGACTCCACCCAGCTATGGTCCTCGGGGGACCCTGTGTGGCAACAGGATTTGTGGACAAAACTTTTCACCTCGTACACAACTGCTTGCAAGTCCCCAACTTGGTTGGTCTTTTTAACAGATGCACTGCCATTGTTACCGCATGGCGTCGTTGGTTTATCAAGTTTAGTAGTTGGTGCATTGTGGTACAGCAGTATGTTGGATGTGTACGTCTTTTGAAGTACATTATTAGCATGGAAAGCACGCTTCTCCATGAACTTTTTAGTCTGTTTTGGTGAGGCTAGATTGAGCGTATGCGTGTCCTGGTCAACGTGAGATTGGGATTTGTGTTTTAACTTTTCCCTTTTCCCCGTACCTGGCACTGTTATGATTTTCCTTCTGGGTCCTTTACAATCACATCGTAACGCCTCCCAAATCATCCGTCCATATTTGTGTTTAATCCGACCGTTATGCTGGGCATAGATGTACGGATCCAGAGCACTATTGAGGAACACTAGGGCAATACCACACAGCTTTACCTGATACAGAATGATAGATTCTCCTGTAATCAACTCCACGAACTGAGATATCACCAACGGGCTCCAGCACAACACTATAGTCAGAATAACCACTAAACACATTGTCACCGCCTTGTTCTCCTTGTCAAGGATAGCTTGGTTGCTGCAACACGGGCAATATCTTCCGGGATACAACCTCTTTCCTTTGTCCTTTGGTACCAAGGCTAACGGCCGTTTGTCTAGAGGTTTCTTGTCATTGGACTTTGGTTTCGGCGGTCTGTATATGGTGGTCTGAGTGCCAGGAGATTTTATTGCTCGGACTTGACTTTGGGTCCTCACAGCCCGTGCGATGATTAAATAGGATACGATGATGATTGCAAAGCCAAGTAAAGCCACGGGGCTGATGAAAAACAAGATGAAGTTGTGGGTTTTCAGATTTGCACTGTTGATGATAACTTGGCAGTTGTGGAAGGAGTCGTTCCAGTTTGAAGTCACATGCATAGTGCCACCTAACGCTGTGGAGAGGCTAATAAACCACACTGTTCCTAGAATAACGGCGGTCTGGGTGGGGGTGAGCGTCCCCTTGGCGTGTCCCACAACACGGGCCTGTCTGTGGATGGCGATGGCGACTATGGTCAGGAGAGACAACATGCCACACGCTGTCCCGAGGAACAGGAAGCTCCCGCAGAAGAGTTTCGGTGTGGGCGGGTCTGTGAACAACAGGTATAGAAACACGGGCGACAAACAGGTACACAATATAAAGTCCGTACCCGCAAGGTTCACAATCAGCAGATCGAAGTTCGATCTCAGTTTTCGACATTTGATGGCCGACAGGATGACGACTCCGTTACCCACAGATCCAAGGATGAGCACAAACAACACAAGGACGGTACACACGGCCAGGGAGGCGGTATGGACGGACCCCTGGAACACGGTGAGCTCCATAGCCGGTCGAGTACAGTTGTAAACACGAAGAACTGCCATCACCCACGTGGCTAACCGTCAGGGGTGGGGATCCAGGAAGAGGTGGGATGCATCATGACGCCATCTTACTTTTGTATGTCCATCTGAAGCATGTATAGGGCACACTTTCTGTATATATTCTGCACAACTGTCCCGATCCTCTATCCACAGTCCGCTCCTTCTTGTTGGGAGCGCCTAGCGTTGGCCGTCTCGCCCGTACTGGTGTAGTATATCGCTTCTGCTTCAGTGGTACTCAGCAATAAGTCCGGCCGGGCTCGGCGAGGCTCGTCAGTCGGCACTGGAGCGTGTTGCGGCTTCTATAGTCTCGACTGTAAAGCCTGCGAAAGAAAATGAATACATGCAATCAACTGGAAGTATCTCTTAAGAACTCGCCAAAAGTTTTAGCCTTAAATTTCCCACAACTTCTACGTGAGCGCGCGAGGACTGCACCCGTGCACACCCTCGAAATTTATCGTCTGCTACAAGCTCCAGTCTCGTGCTGGGATGACTGACCGAATTTCTTTCAGGATCTCAAGCGCTTTACGTTATTTCTTCAAGTACCAAATATACGAATAATTCGGCCTATGCTTCACATGCCTTTGTTGACGGTTTCATTGATGATATTCCTGCTGAACATGATACAAATAAGCTCAATTCAATCTGTAAATATAAGCCTTCTCAATGGACACACAACAGCTGATATAGAAAACAGGGACGCCTGGTTTTCAAAGCATTTGCTAAAGGGACAAGTATCGATTCCTAAGACGAGTTAGAATAATATTTTGATTTTAAATGTTGAAAGCGTACTTAATTGATGTGTGTGTTAGTTTCAACAACAATACACAAGGACGCTAGTAGTATCGCCTGTATGGCAAATACAGGACACAAACAACTAAACATTAGTCTGGTGATGCTAAGGTTGGAGCGTATTGGCTCCAATGTAACATGTATTTAAAGCCTGTCAATATTGATCACTTTCTGAATAAAATCGTTTACCTGAAAACTCAGCCATTTTAAAAAATGCCCCCTTTCTGTTATACCGTTTGTCACGAGTTAAACTGTTGCACCTTAAAGCCACGTGTGTTTTGTCTCCTCTCCATTACTGTCCTGTGATCGAGTTTATTTATTACTTATTTTAATATTACATACTCCCTTTCACTGAAGACCGGACAGGGAAGCAAGACTTGCATAAACTATTTTTAAAAGTGAGTTTTTTATGCTTTAATCAGCATTATTTCAATGAGTCTGGGCAAAACATAAAACAGTGGTTGATAGCATACACACCAAGCCAGGTGTCAGGGACGATGACATGCTATTGCCAGGTCTCATACAGCAACCCCACAGTCATCGTGTTTGTCGACTTACACAAGTAGGAGTACTGGCAACTATTGTTTCCAGGGTTCATCACGACAAAGCGTTCAAGAACTCAATAAATATATTCGGTGCTTCTGAGACACAATGTTGTGTTATGTGGTTTAAAATATGAAATATTAGCTGCGTGTCAATCTACCTTAACAGATCATAGAGCCTTTTCTTGTTTGACTATAGAATAAATGATTGAATTATTTCCACGACACTGAGCGAAATACACAAATATACAATTTTAACATTTTCGAAAAAACCCGTTCTCTTTGATAATTAACATGTTAAACTGTCTGGACAAGATTTTAATAAATAAGTTTGATATTGTCTAAACCTGAAAACAGCCCAAAAGGGACAAAAGCATGATACACAAAGGTCGACCTGTTATCCTTGTTATGTATGCAGAGTGCCTCCATAGACTGCAATTCTCTTCACGCAGTGTTGCCCCGGAAGAAATCACTGTGTCGGGACTCCAGGCGAGCCAGATTACTTTTGGCGTCAAAATAACGTCGAGTTAATACTGGTACACTTAGGCTTAGACTTAGGGGACATACGTATTATTCCTCTACAGCTCACATGAACGTACACTGAAGTAACTGTTTTCAAAATGAAGTTTGATGTGTGGTTCATCCTTATCTTGCCCTGACGTAAATACTGGTTCAGAAAATACATGTTTTCTTGTACTGATAATATTTTCAAATTGATTCAAATAAGATATTTCAACGGCTGCTGCATACCGCACGAAGAATTGCACTCATTAGTACTGTGGTTAACATACCATTCGCTTGAAAAGAGGCAAGATGGTTGTATTTGTCCATAAATATACCAACATTCTTCCTGTCCACGTTAACGGGTAAGCAATTAAACATAACCTTTAAAATAACATGTTTTCCTAAGGACGAAAAACCAAAGAGACTGTCCCTACAACGGAACAGTACCTCGAGAATTATTGGCTTCGAAACAAAAGAAAACAAGCGAAGTTCACAGTTCCTTTGTCCGTGTAAACACTAACACCACACCTACTTCGCCTATCTTCATGTAGAAGATAAGTAAGAAGTTAAAGTATGGAATATATATCATAATTTTGATAAAAAAAAAGTGTTCACCGATCCTACCTGTTTCAAGAAAAAGTCAGAATACACAACATTTGACAGGTCACATCCTAGTTCCAGTCTCGTCTGCTATCCATTGACGTCTGCTCTGATGGAGCTCGTGCTGCACGAGACATGGTGCTGAGGTCGTGCACTCTTGAGCTCTCAATACCTGTGTCCGTTCTATCGCTACAATCTCTGACAGGTTGTCATTATCGCCCTTAAACTTGCATGGAATTCAGAAAAAAATAGTTTTCCCGTGCCTTGGCCCTCTTTCAGTTCATATGCATAATTATGGCGGAAAATAACAAGTGAATACCCTCCGTCCGGGCCCTTTACAAAGAAATGACTTTAAAAAATAATGATCTCTCCCTCTTCTTGCCGCAAAGGCTGAGCCTCAATGGGGTAGGGAATTTGATCGTGTTCCTTTTGAAGCGCGACTCTGCTGAGAAAATTGCTGTTCATTTCTACCAGCTCGAAACTGCCCTCTATGAGGTCGCTGGTGCTTGGCTGGCGATGAATGGCAGAACGAGAAGGGAGAGGACTGCGCCGTGACAGGCTGTCATTAGACTGAGGGATAGAAGGCAATTTGATATACGGGGAAACTAGTCAATAGACGTTGAGGCTAGGGCTCCCCCCATTGTGTCCCGACAGGACAGGACAATTACCGGACTTCATCTTTAACATCACCTCTTCTGCTACATTAACTTCGCTCCCCCTTTGTAGGACTAAATACTTGTTTCATGCACCAGGACTCAGTGTTAAAGGGTGGTAATGATAGCAAATGAAAAGTGGCTCGGGTTTTGTACTAGGGCTTGTTCCATTCACGACAACGACAAAAGTGCTCTCTCAAAATATTTGTCTATCGTGCGTTCTGAAGCAGAGGGGATCTGCACTATGTGCGCCGCTGCACTTCCATCGTATCAAGATTCGTGGATATTGTCGGGACAAGCCTCCTTTCTTCCACACGGAAGAATGGATTCTTTTAAATTTGTAGTCAATTAGAGACTCGGGACATGATCTGCAAGTTCTAATTATGTCTAAATGAAATTAAAGAACCGATCGATCCAAACCCGGCGCCACGTTGGAGCTTGAAGCAGACGACAGACCATCTTGATCAATCTCAGTTCATACTGCCTTTGTCTAGTTTCAGTTTAGTTCACTGGGACCCCCACCTCGTCTTGAAGATCAATTGAAGGGCATACCCTCCAAGATTTTTATGTCGCGACATTCGACTAATAACGCAAACAGTTCTGATTGATAGAATTACAAGATGGCCCCCTGCTACAGAATGATACAAAATGGTTTGATCGGTACGTACCATCTGGCGATTCCTGTGAAATATCTTCAATTAAAACCTTTACACGCTCAGATGTGTGACGAATGAGTCCAAGTCGTAAACTGACGTGGATAAAAACGTAACACTAACTTTATATACCTTCCACATTTACGGTTTGAAGTTAATCCACTTTAACGAAAACACAGAGATCAACTCGTTTAATTGAATAAAAAGTATTCCTTGAATCAATAATGGAAAGGTTAATTACAAGCGATTGTCCATACGCTTATGCGGGATTGAGTAATTAGCAGGAATGCAACTCTGTCTCGCGCCCTCTGTTACCACAATAGCAGTTTGTACGAGGGAGGTACTGCACGGCCATGCTTCGTTAAACCGGCTTACCTTGATGGGATGCAATCGGTATCAACTACACTAATTAGCTTTCTGCTAATTAGCGCTCCATTTCAGCAAGTGTTGGTTTAGCCCACGCATCGTGTGTTGACCTAGTGTGTAGAATAGTACTGATGGTTGAATTTTAATTGTTCTGAGTTGTAGTACATTATTTATTTATTTATTTATTTATTTATTTATTTATTTATTTATTTATTTATTTATTTATTTATTTATTTATTTATTTATTTATTTATTTATTTATTTATAATTTATTTGTGAAGTACTTCATTTTGCATAACGTGCGGTTGGTACTGGTCACATGGCCTAGACACTATTAAAACATGCTTTGCTTCAAGTGAATCAACGAAATGACGATCACTATATACACATTTAAAGGAACGTGAAAATGCGTTTTCATTTATTTTCAGAATAGTTAAATCTGCACAAAACATACAATTTGACTGAATTAAAATTAATAATCAAAACAGTGTCATAGTTATGTATTGCCCTTAAATGAAAACAACGCTGGGGGTAATGGAAACAGGATGTAAAATAAAAATAAACGAAAAACGATCCGATGTTTGGCATTGATCTGCTCAAGTGGAGGGTCAATTCATTGTCTACCCAAATGGAGAGTCATTTTATAGTCTACCCAAATGGTGTGTCAAATCATAAACTATTGAGGATAGTGACGATGAGACGAGAGTCTGAGTGATGGCCCAAACAGCATCTACCTGGTGAATGGGATGGGTTCTAGAGCGATAAGTACCATCTAAAGTTGTGTGAATAGAGGAAGGATGGGTTCTGTAAACCCGAACGGTACGGAGAAGATCGGCAATCTACACAAAACTGATGGATACACGTACCCTCCATCTACGGGGGACGCTGGGAGGGGCGCCCTCCCCCACCTATGTAGATGATGGTAGTATGTGATGTGATCAATTAGAGATGGGAGATGGGTATTTACAGCCAGCTACGTGAGGGAAACAAAACCGAGCTTGCCCGCTTTTCTCTCCTGTTCGTCAAGCTTGTTTGTAAACATGGTGGGATGAAAACACGTCAAATGGCTGCCGTAAGCACCGGGTCGGCTACAGCCACTCAGCAAACAAGTAGCCACCTTTGAACAAGGCACACCGGGCCTCTAACATAGCCCCCTTTCACCGGTCCTCGACTTCTCTGTTTGTTTCCAGGCCGTGTACTCTACCTTGGGTCG